GGAGGCGGTGGCCGTGGTGGCGGCCCGCGCAGCTTGGCGTCTACCAGCGGCTCCAGTGCTGTGACCTGCCAGTACCAGCTTCAGACCGGGCCTCTCCGCGGCACTCTGTGCCGCCGCCCGCACCCGACCGCCCGCTGTTTCCGCCGCCTCGACGATCTTTTTCGTCGTCGCTTTGGCCCGGCCCCGGACCTCCCTGACTGGCACAGCCTGCTCCGCCAGGGCGTGCCGATCTTTGAGTTAGACATGGATCAGATAGGTGCTGCTTTGCATGCTTTGTATGCTGACGCTTCTAGTGTTGATGGATCTTACTACCCTGTGTACTCTAGTTTAGGTGTTTCACTCTTGTGTAGCTTAGCTTCCCCTGCTGCGACAGGCGTAGGACTGCCTAGGTTGCCTAGTCTAGTCGCTGCACCGGCTCCGTCCCCGGCCCCCGCCACTGCGTCGCTGTCCTTCACTCTCGACTCTGGTGCTTCTGCCTGCTTCTTCCGCGACCGTTCCACGCTCACGCCGCTTGCTGCACCTGCTGTTGTCTCTCTCGCTGACCCCTCTGCGGGTCCGGTCGTCGCGCGCAGTTCTACGTCCCTTCCCTGTCCGGCAGTTCCCTCGGGCTCCCTTACTGGCCTCCACGTTCCCTCGTTCTCCAGGAACCTGGTTGGTGTCGGCTGTCTCCAGGACCTCGGCGTCACCACCACGTTCCCCGGGCACGAGCGGTTCGCTGTCTGTTCTGAGGCTGTCTCAGGTTCCCCCCTTGCGACGTTCCCCCGGGACCCGGTGTCCGGTCTGTTTACCCTACACACCGCTTCCCCCCCGGTTGGTGCGTCCTCCCAGGTCGCTGCAGCTTGCTCGTGTCGGTCCCTCACTCACCCCTCCCTTCTCTGGCACCACCGCTTAGGTCACCCTGCTCTCCCGCGTCTGCGTCACATGTCCCAGCACGGTCTTGTCTTAGGTCTCCCCGCGTCGCTCCCTGCCCTTCCTCCCTCGACTGCGCCACCGTGCACGCCTTGCGTCGAGGGTCGGCTCCGCCGTGCTCCTCACTCCTCCTCGCTGCGTCCTGCTACTGCCCCCCTTCAGACCCTGCACTTGGACGTTTGGGGCCCTGCCCCCGTCCCCGGACCGCGCGGTGAGCGCTACTTCCTTGTGCTTGTCGACGACTACACGCGCTACACCACGGTGTTTCCCCTGGAGCGGAAGGCCGACGTGCCCGACGTTCTTCTCCCGTGGGTTGTGGCTGCGCGTCTCCACCGCGGTCTCCCCGTGTTGTGTCTCCACTCCGACCGTGGCGGCGAGTTCGCCTCTGGTCGGCTTGGACAGTTCTGTCGTGCGGAGGGCATCACCCAGTCGTACACGTTGCCGGACTCGCCACAGCAGAATGGGGTTGCTGAGCGCCGCATCGGCTTGGTCATGGAGGTCGCCCGTACCTCCATGATCCATGCCGATGCCCCCCATTTTCTGTGGCCGTTCGCTGTTCGCTACGCGGCTCACCAGCTTAACCTGTGGCCACGCTCCCAGCGGCCGCAGGTTTCGCCGACCCTCCTTTGGACCGGGTCCCCCGGTGACGCGTCTGCGTTCCACGTCTGGGGCTGCCTTGCTCACGTTCGTGCCTCTGGCACGGACAAGCTCACTGCCCGCACTGTCCCCTGTGTCTTCCTCGGTTTCCCCCTGGACTCGTCTGACTGGCTTTTCTACCACCCGCCGTCTCACCGCTTCCTCCACTCTCGTGACGTCACCTTTGACGAGTCCGTCTCCTTCTACCGCCGCTTCCCTCACCGAGGTCTCCCAGTTGCCCCCCCCCTTTTCCTTGCTCCCTCTCCCCCGGTAGCCCCTGCCCCTCTCCCGCCTCGTCCTGCCCCGTCTGGTGTCTCCCACGTCACTCCCCTCCCGTCGGTTGTCCCCGTTGAGGAGTCTGACGACTCTGGTGGTACCCCCGGTCCGTCCTTGCCGCGTCCCCCTTCCCCGGTGCCTCCGCCCCCACTGTCGCAGTCGCCGACCCCGCTGCCGCCGCCGTCGCCGTCGCCGCCGCAGCCGTCGCCGCTGTCGTCGCCGCCGCCGCCGCTGTCGCTGCCGCAGCCGTCGCCGCTGTCGCCGCCGCCGCAGCCGTTGCCGCCACTGCCGCCGCTGCTCTCGGCCCCTGGGGGTGCTGGTGTGGAGGAGGGTGTTCGTCCTGCGGCTTCTGGGGGTGCCGCTGGTGTTGGAGGGGGTTCTCGCTCTGGGGGTGTTGGTTCTGGGGGTGCTGCTGTTGAGTGTTCTGCCGACGGTCGTTCTGCCTCTGCTGGTCCGAGAGTTCCGGCCCAGCCGTCGTCGCCGCCGCAGCAGCCGTCGCCGCCGGTTTCCGCTCTCCGCCTGCTCGGCCTTCCCTCCCCGGACCGCGCGCCGGTGTCTCCCCCACCGCCTCCTGACCTCCCTGTCTACGGTCCTGTGTTCCCGCCGCCAGACTCGTCTCCGGCCCGTCTTCCTCCTCGTTCCCCTCCTGTGTCTCCTCCGCTGTCCCCTGACCCTACCCCTCCGTCTCACGTTTGGGCTCGCCGTCCCTCCCGTGCTCGTCCCGTCTCTCCTGTCCTGCCCACCCACCCTATGTTGCTCCGTTCCCACTCGTCTCGTCCTCCCCTCCTCCCGTCCCCTCCTCCCTCGTCCCTTGCTGTTGCACCTCCTCCGTTCTCTGACTACCTCCGTGCTGCTCGTCCCCTTGTCCCTCGGGTCCTTGCCTCTCTTGTTACCGACCCTGCTGTTCCTGTCTCGCGCCTTGACGCGCTTGTCGCTGCTGTCGCTGACTTCGCTTCTACCCGCCGCCTTGACTACGCTACCGCTCTGGTCTCTGACCCTGCCCGTCCTCTGTCCGTCGGGGGTGCTCCTGCCCTTGGCAGTGACGTCCTAGAGGACAGGCAGTACGAGCTGGCTTTCCTTTCCGAGGCTGCTCCCCATCTCTGCTCCATGCTGTTAGTCCCTGAGGGTGACCCAGACGCCTTCGACATCCCGACCCCTCGCACCTACGCTGAGGCCACCTCGGGACCTTGGGCCTCTCAGTGGATAGCTGCCATGGAGCAGGAGATGGCATCTTGGAGATCCACCGGCACTTACGTCGACGCAGTTCCCCCGCCTGGGGTGAACGTAGTCGATGGTCGGTGGCTCTTCAAGGTGAAGCGCCCCCCTGGAGAGCCGCCTGTCTTCAAGGCGCGCTACGTGGCCAGAGGTTTCAGTCAGCGCGAGGGGGTTGACTTCTTCCAGACCTTCGCCCCGACCCCGAAGATGACCACTCTTCGGGCGCTGCTACACGTAGCAGCACAGCGTGACTACGAGCTTCACTCTCTCGACTTCTCTACTGCCTTTCTTCAGGGCAGCCTACACGAGCAGGTCTACCTGCGCCGACCACAGGGCTTCACTGGTACCTTCCCTCCTGGGACCCAGTGGCTTCTCAGGCGCCCGGTCTACGGCCTGCGTCAGGCTCCCCGCGAGTGGCACGACACGCTACGTGCCACGTTAGCAGACCTGCAGTTCTTTCCGTCCTCTGCTGACCCTTCACTGTTTGTGCGTTCCGGCCAGACTCCGTTCTACATCCTTGTCTACGTAGACGACCTGGTCTTCGCTACTCCTGACAGGGACGCACTGGCCTCTGTGAAGGCTGAGCTGCTGAAGAGACACACCTGCACTGACCTTGGAGAGCTGCGTCGCTATCTTGGCCTGCAGATCTCTAGGGACAGAGCAGCACGCACCATCACTCTGACCCAGTCACACTTGGTGCGTCAGGTCCTTCAGAGGTTCGGTCTTCAGTTCTCCTCCGCACAGCCCACACCTCTACCCGTAGACCATGGGCTCTCTGCTCCCGTTCCTGAGGAGCCAGTAGAGCCCAGTGGCCCCTACGCAGAGCTGGTGGGTTGCCTCATGTACCTGATGACTTGCACTCGCCCAGATCTCGCATACCCTCTCAGCATCCTGGCTCGCTTTGTGGCTACAGGCAGACACCGACCTCAGCACTGGTCTGCCGCTAAGAGGGTTTTGCGTTATCTTGCTAGTACATCAGGCATGGGGTTAGTGCTAGGAGGACGCAGGCCAGTGGTCCTTACTGGGCACACAGACGCTTCTTGGGCAGACGACGCTGAGACGCTCAGGTCGTCGCAGGGCTACTGTTTCAGCCTTGGTTCGGGTGCTATCTCTTGGAGATCCACTCGCTCGTCGTCTGTGGCTCAGTCTAGCTGTGAGGCTGAGATCTACGCTGGTGCCATGGCGGCACAGGAGCTCCGCTGGCTGACCTTCTTGCTCACAGACTTAGGTGAGCGGCCTAGCTCTGCCCCGGTCCTGTACGCTGACAACAGGGCCATGATACTCCTGTGTCAGGAGCCTCGGCTTGAGGGCAGAGCGAAGCATATCCAGCTGCGGTACTTCCTCCTGCGCGAGCTACAGCAGCGCCGCCAGGCCCGCGTAGTTCACTTGGCCTCAGGTGCCAACACAGCTGATATCTTTACTAAGGCGCTTGCGCCTAAAGATCATCAGCGGCACTGTGTACAGCTTGGTCTTGTTCCTATAGCTGCTCCCCTGTTAGGATCCTGATTGTGTACTCTCTATTATATATGCTTGTCAGACTGGCCTTGTGGCCTTACCTCCAGTGGCTGGACTAGTAGTGCCACCCTGGCTTGCTTCAGTTTTGGTTGTATTCTTGTTGACTGGTCTCCAGACCCCTGCCTCAGTGGTTGGACTAGTAGTGCCGCCCTGAGCTGTTTGCTTCTTGTTTAGTTTCACCCCTTGTCTAGCCTAGGGGGTGTGTCAACTTATACATATTATCTATGTAGAAGTTATAGGCTAGACTGAGGTATGCTTCTAGTGAGTACAACCAACTAGTATTTGTTCTAGGTTTCCACCTCTAGTAATCATTCGTTTCTACGTTAACACCCATTACATTAGTTGAAGGATATTGTTTGCAGTGGGCTTTCTCTTAATGTTTTGTGGATTGCGACTGATTTTAGGGAGATGTCTGGATTTTTGTATTGTACGTAGATCAAGGCTGCCCAGTGCCCATTCGCACTTCACCACTCGAAAGATAACAATGCCAGTTCGGTTTTTTGGCATACCAATACAGAAGTTCAGTCAGTCCTGCCGTGGTAACAGCCGAAAGAAATGCAACATCTGCTGTTACTGGGCGGGCTCACTGCTGCAGAGGTGCCTCACATCATGTGTAGACAATTTGAATGACCTGAGAGATGTTATTGGCATGCTGCAGCCTGCATTCCCAGGACTCATCCTCAGAGTTTCACTTCACTTCCCCAGTCGCAATGGCATGCAGCAGCGTCAGCTCAGCTCTCCTATCAGCTCAGCTCTCCTATCAGCTCAGCTCTCCGATCAGCTCAGCTCTCCGATCAGCTCAGCTCTCCCATCAGCTCAGCTCTCCTATCAGCTCAGCTCTCCTATCAGCTCAGCTCTCCGATCAGCATAGCAGAATCGAATGGACCCACTGCTGCTTCACCTCCGCCACACCCGCCTCTTCTTTTTTCCTCACTAACGTCTTCTCTATTACAGACAACTCTCCAGGGCATTTTGGTAGGTTGCACCAGCAGCCTCAGAATGTCACTTCCCCGGTCTCAATGGCATGCAGCAGCGTCAGCTCGCCAACCAGCCTAGCAGAATCAAACGGACCGACTGCAGCCTTCACCTCCACACCTGCCTCTTCCTTCTTCCTCACTAGAGTCTGCTCCATTATAGACAACTCTCCAGCGCCAGCACTTGTCAAGTCAATGTCAGCCGCACCACCATCGCCATCAATGCTGCCTGCACCCATCAGTTCCAGCCTCATCAATCCTTGCCCCTGCTTCATTATCTCCGCATCCCGAGCCAGTGCCCGCTGCTCCTCTGCTTCCGACCACACCAAATCCTCGTCCTCCTCCTCCCCCTCCTCATCTTGCAAATCCCTCCCCTCTCCCTCCTCTCCCTTCCCTTCCTCCTCTTCCTCCTCCTCTTCCCCCTCTTCCCCCACTTCCCCCCCCTGCACCTGCTCTCCCCAGTCATCTTCACTAGTATCACCATCGGTTTGCCCCGCAATGCCCGTCACATCGATTCCTCCAGTTGAGGCCGATAGGCCCAGCACGTCCCAGTCAGCGCTGAGCTGGAGACCCGCCACGTGGCGCAAGATGGAGGCCTGCTGTCGCCACGTGGCGGCCTCATACGCTGCCCGCATGGCAGCACGCGTGGCGCTCGGTAGTAAGCCCAGGACCCGTTTCAGGTTGCTCACAAGGACGTGTGACTGCAATGACTGTGTTTGTGACTGTGATTGTGATTGTGACTGTATTGATTGTACCGGTTGTAGTGGTTGTGACTGCGGGTGTGGTTCTAGGGAGGGGAAGCTCTCTGGAAATAGGCGCTGAAAAAAAGGCTTCTGAGGCTCAAAGCGCATCTGCAGGAGAGGAAAAAGGCAGGGGGGCATTCACGTTTAGACCGGCACATTATCGAGGAGAGGGGAAAAAATATCTCTGGAAATGGCCCTAAAAAAGGCTACTGCGGCTCAAAGTGGACCTGCAGCAGAGGAGAAAATCAAGAGGGCATTCACATTTAGACCGGCACATTATAGGGGAGAAAATATCTCTGGAAAGGGCCCTAATAAATGCTTCTGCGGCTCAAAGCGCACCTGCAGCAGAGGAGAAAAGCAGGGGGGCTCTCAATTCAGGCGACTCAAGTCAGGCGACTCAAGTCAGTCTTTGAATACAGGGGGCACAACGCAACTCTGTGCACCGCTCAAAACACCTCCCAACCCGCCATGCACCCCTTCAAAATCTGGTGAGGAACAGGTCAGGCTGGTACCAAGCAACACACTGAGCCTCGTCATTCCACACCCACTTGGTCAACCATTCACCGCTCTAAACCTCTCTCCATTTCTCATTCTTCGTACCTCGAAAGCTGGGTGCCAAGTAAACACCAGGTCTGGTCGGTCCCAGGCCATGCACTGGGCCACGTCACTCCACGCCCTCTTGGGCAGTCTAGCTCTTCCTCCCCCCTGGCACCGTTCTGCATCCCTCTCAGCTCCCCGTTCAAGCTCACCTCAAATGCAGGATGTCTGGTAAACACCAGGTCTGGGCGGTACCAGGCCACGCACTGGGCCACGTCACTCCACGCCCTCTTGGGTAACCGATGCATCAACCATTTCTGCACGTGCTCATCCATTTTCTGGCTTGCGAACCAGTGCTGAATGGTTGTTTCCTGGCTGTTCAAGGAATCCGCACTTGTCGCAGCCGCAGCAGCCGCAGCAGCAGCCGCAGCAGGTGAAGAAGCAGCATTGCTGATCACTGCAGAAATGTCTGCTCCTGCTGCTGGTGCTGCTGCTGCTGCTTCACCTGCAGCATCTGCTGCAGTCTCAGCATCCCGCATGGCAGCTTGGAGCGTGCGGGGGGGAAGGGCGAGTTGAGCAACGAGAGTCCACTGCAGCCAAGGGGGCTGGTGGGAGGAGAGGAGGGGGAGCAAGACGGAAGGGGGTGGGGGAGAAACGGGCATGTGATGCACTAAGGGGCAGAAGCAGCAGGGGGGGAAGGGCGAGTTGAGCAACGAGAGCCCATTGCACCCAAGGGGGCTGATGAGAGGAGGGAGAGAGGAGGGGAGGAGAGGAGGGGGAGAGGAGGGGAGGAGAGGAAGAGTTACGAGGTGTAATGATCAATGGTGCCTGTATGGAATGTGAGTGAGGGAAGGGCGAGATGAGCAACGAGAGTCCACTGCAACGAGGGGGACTGAGGGGAGGGGGGAGGGGAGGCGGCGATAGGATGAAGCAGCATATACATATATATATACATTCTTTTTCCCAAAATGGAAAAGAGTCGGGCACAAATTTTTAGGCGCCTCAAAAATTTTGAAGCCAGGCACGAGCTGTCTGTGGGACCAAAAGGCGGAGCAAATCCCACGAACGATGGACTTATCGCCAAAAAACAGAAGGAACGATACGGCAATGCCAGCAGATGATACAATTTATAAATAAAAGACAGATGCAACGCGATCCGGGAACATCTACTTCGCAAATTTCGCAAGAATTTATCTGACATTAATGGCAACAGGAAAAAAGAGAACGTACCCAAGGCAGGACTTGGGATCCAGGTTCCAACTTTGCATCCAGCTCGAGCGGTGCTTGCCTCTTTTGTGAAAACAAACACAGCAGGTCCGGTTCTTGAGAGCGCTCCCGCTTGTGAGAGCGCTCCGGCTTGTGAGAGCGCTCCGGCTTGTGAGAGCGCTTCGGCTTGTGAGAGCGCTTCGGCTTGTGAGAGCACTCCAAGGTGTGGCTAGGCACAACACGAGCAACAGGTCCGGTAGCTCACCCTTGGTCTCGACCTGGGTGTTGGTCGTCCATCCGTGACTGCTTCTGAGTCGAGAAGTGACTGCTTCTTCCGTGCAAACACGAACAACAGGTCCGGTTCTTGAGAGCACTCCGGTTCCTCCGAGTTTTCCGAGTCGTGAGGGTCCTCAATGCTCGATACAGGTCCAACGTTCGAAGGAGGTACAGCATCAGAAGGAGCACTAGTCAAAGGTGTTGCTGGCGGGGACAGGAAGGAGTCAAGAGCCCTCTCGTACCGAGCACACATGTGGTTCTGGTCCGCTCGCTCCTGCTCTGTTTGGGGGTGGAAGGGGGCGGGGGGGAAGGAGAATGTTGGTGGCATGAAGGGAGAAGAGAGAAAGGAGTCAAGAGCCCTCTCGTACCAAGCACACATGTGATTTTGATCTGATCCACTCTTTCCTATTCTGCCGGCGAAGGAAGGATGTAACCGGAGGGAAGGGGACGGGGAAGGGGAAGGGGAGGGGGAGGGGAGGGGGAGGGGAGGAGGGAGAGGGGATATATATAAGAGGAGATAAAGGAGTCTAGCGCTTTCCTGGGCATTCTTCCACCGAAAAGACATGAAGTGTTGGTCTGCTCACTCCTGCTCCTTAGCGGAGGGGATAGAAGTCGAGTATGTGGGGGAGAAGGGAGGGGGAGGATAGAGGAGAGAAGGATTTTGGAGCTTAACAGGTGGTTGGTTCTGGTCTGCGTGCTCTCCCTTCACCGCTCTGCACCGAGCTGAACTCCGAAATCACCCATTCGTCCGTGATCTTTGCCTTCTTGTGCCTGCCAATCATCGCCACCCTCCACCCATACGGCCCATGGGGGGTCATACAATACAAGTACCTCTCCCTCTCACCATGTGGCATATATCGGCCACACACCCCACCGCTCTGCACCCACCTTCATCGCTTTGAACCGAGCTGAACTCCGATATCACCCATTCTTCCATGATCTTTTCCTTTTTGTGCCTCCCGATCATCGGTGCCCTCCCCCCATACGGCCCATGGGGATCATACAATACAAGTACCTCTCCCTCTCACCATGTGGCATATATAGGCCACACACCCCACCATATCACCCACCTTCATCACTCTGCACCGAGCTAAACTCCGAAATCACCCATTCGTCCGTGATCTTTGCCTTCTTGTGCTTGCCAATCATCGGCGCCCTCCCCCCATACGGCCCATGGGGGCCATACAGGTACCTCTCTCTCACTCCCTCCCTGCTCCACTCCATCCTCCCCTTCTCACTCCTCCCCTTTTCTCTCCTTTCCTTCCCCCCTTTCCTTCTCTCCTCCTCCTCATCCTCATCCTCCTCCTCCTCCTCCTCCTCCTCTTCCCACCACTCCTCATTTCTCCCAGCCGTTTTCCTCCTCCCCGCTTCTACTCTTCTTGACCCCCCCCTTCCCCGTGCTGCAGCAGCAGCCTCTGCTGCCGCCCTTGCATCGGCCTCTGTTGGTGAGAAGTGGGGGAGTAAAAACAAGACAAGGGTTGGGCAATCGTATGTAATGAGTCGATTTTTGAGTCAACTAAAAAATCGACTCATTACACAAAAACAAGACAAGGGTTGGGCAATCGTAAGCTAAGGGAAGTCCCCGTTTTCCTCCTCCCAGGTTCTGCTCCCCTTGACCCCCCCCCTGATCCCCTTGCTGCAGCAGCAGCAGCAGCCCGTGCTGCTACCCTTGCATCGGCCTCCTTCCCCTTGCAGCAGCAGCAGCAGCAGCCTGTGCTGCTGCCATTGCGTCAGCCTCTGTTGCGCAATGGTTGGGGCGTAGATGAAATACAAGGGTTGGGCGGATGGAACGGTTGGATAGGGTGCGTGGGGGTTGGAACCGGTGGAATGGGCAGTCGGAATCGAGTGAAAGAGGAAGCGATGGGAGCGAGGGACGAATCAAAACCCAGAAACCCCTACCTACCTTCTCCCCCCCTCCTCTCCTAGGAGTCTAGTCTACTTCTCCCGTGTCCCCCTCTCCCCAGCATTTCTACCCCCCCTGCCCTCCCCACTAACCTGCTTGGCGCTGCATCCTCCCCTCTCCCTTCCCCTCTAGTTCCCCCTTTCCCTCTAATTTCTCCCCCTCTCCCCCTCTCCCCCTCTCCCCCTCCCCCCTGACCTGCTTGGCGCTGCATTTGTCTCTCCGCCTTCCACATCTTCTTGGACTCCTCCCCCTGGTATGCACTCAACAACTCCGCATCCTCCCCTCCCACTTCCCCCCTGGTGGTATGCACTCAGACGCCCTTATTCCTCCACCTTCCCCTCTACCAGATCTACCTCCCCCTCCACACCCCCCTACCCACTGACCTGCTTGGCGCTGCATTTGCCTCTCCGCCTTCCACACCTTCTTGGACTCCTCCCCCTGGTATGCACTCAGCAGCTCCGCATCCTCCCCTCCCCCTCCGCCCCACCCCCCTCTTACCCCCGGCCTTGGACCATCCCTCACGCCCCCTCCTAAACCCCTTTCTAAACCCTTGCTTAAAACTCCTCCTAAACCTCCTCTGCCCAAACCACCTCCCTCTCTTGTACCCCTTCCAACCGTAACCTCACGTCCAACGCTCCCTCTATTTCTCTCCCTAATCTCCCTTTCCCCAGTTTCCTCCGCCACCCTCTCAAATCCGCTTCCCCTCCCCCCTCCCCTGCCCCCTCCCCCTCCTCTTCCGCTTCCCAGTGCATTCCGCGCACTTGTTCCGCCACTCTGCCCCCTCCCCCAATCAATTCCCACCCCCCCACTGTTTCTGGAAAACCCAGAATTCTCGTCGTTAAACCCTGTACCCTCCACGTTGCCCTCCACGTCACGGCTACTGCCACGTGATCCCTGTCCGCGTCCCCGTCCCCGCTGCTGACGTGGCAGATTTGCTGTTCCTCCGCCTCCCCTACCCCCCGAATCCCGCATATCCCGACTCCCGCCCGCACTCGTCCCCTCCCCGCTCACATTTCCCCCGCTCCGCCCTCTCCCCCTTTCGCTGTCCACATTTCCCCTGCCCAAATTCCCCGCTCCTCGCCCACTCCCCCTTCCGCCACGAGTCCCCCCTCCCCGCGAGGCTCCGCGCCCTCCCCTTTCGCCAGGATTTCCGCCCTCTGCGCGCCTTTCCGCGCGGATCCGGCTTCTTCCGGGCGAAAGGGGGAAAACAGCTCCCCCAGCTGCTGGAAAAACAGAGATCTTAGGGTAAAGCGGGCAGTGGGGAATCCTGGGGGATTCAAGCGGATTCGGGGGGGTTCTGGGCAAGCGGAAGTAGCGTAGGGGGAAGCGCGAGTGGTGCAAGGCAACTAGCGGAGCTAGGGCGCGGGGGAGCGGAGGGGTGAGGAGAGTGCCCATGGCGGGCCGCGCTCACTCGCGGAACAGCGAGCGAGTCACCTAGAAAGGCATAAGCGCGCCGATACGCGGGATGAGCGTGATAAAAAACCGATGGCGCGATAACTGAGGGCGTAATTCCGATTTTTTTTGTGGGTGTTTTTCAATGTGGACCAAGAAATTTCGGTTGTGGGGTGATGGTCATGATCTGCAAGTGCTGTACTCATTACAAGGCAAGGCTGCAAAGACCTAAACTTAGAATTGAGAATAGGTACCAATCAAAGAAGTAAGTTAGTCCCAAGTTTCTAACCGATTGCAGTACAAAATATTTAGCAATGTCACTGCACATACATTTCCCACTGAAGAACAATTGCGGTATATAGTTACCGTGTATTATAGGGATCACCCGTATTAAAACCCCACGGCAAAATAACAGAGGGGGGTCCCTCTTGATGGCAGCCTCTCTGGAAAAAATCGAAGTCCCTTTTTGGACGACGAGGCCACCAAACGAGAGGCGCACAACTTCGCGTCAAACGAAACGAAAACATCAAAACTTTCCTCCCATTGGTCGAACCAAAACATTTATCAGGGTTGGGCGCGAGAATGCGCACGCAAAATGGAATTGAGAAATTCCGCGTCGGCAGCCCGTCGCATAGCTTGTCGCAAGACTGCGCAACTAGTCGGGCGAGAGGGCCACGAAAACAAAGGGGACTGACTTACTTTTCAAGAGGGACCCCCCTCTGCTATTCCTGCACAAACACCACCACCCCGTCCGTCGCCATAACCATGTAATAGTGCACCTCGCGAGACACACAGCACGATAGATTGTATCCAGGCAAAGCGAATAGAGTTTTTTTGCATGCGCATAAGAATTTCCCGCACGCGTAGTGGGTTACGGTAGTAGGTTACGGAATACGCTGCACGCTGCGAGACTGCGACCAACCTCCCGTTGTCCACTTCCAGTTTCCTGCTGCATCCCGCTTTAGAACTCCCGCTTCCCGCGTTTCGCTGCCTCCCGCTTCCTGCATCCTGCTTCCCGCCTCCCGCCTCCCGCCTCCCGCCTCCCGCCTCCCGCCTCTGGCTTCCCGCTTCCCGCTTCCCACTACCCTCTTCCCCCTCCCCGCTCCCCGCCTCCCGCATCCCGTTCCCGCGTCTCGCTGACTCCCGCGTCCCGTTCCCCTCGTCCCGCGTCCCGCTTCCCGCCTCCCGCTTCCCGCGTTTCGCTGCCTCCCACTTCCCACTCCCCGCTTCCCGCTTTCCCGTCTCCCGCCACCCGCCTACCGCTTCCCGCTTCCGGCTTCCCGCCTCGCGCCACCCGCCTCCCGCTTCCTGCTTCTCGCTTCCCACTCCCCGCTTCCTGCTCCCCGCCTCCCGCTTCCCGCGTTTAGCTGGGTCCTAGTTGTTGGAGTGGTTCCGCCACCCACGACGGACTACTCGTGACTTGGGGTGACGAGGAGAGACGTGCGGACTTGGGACGAGAAGGAACTAGGAAATGGGGAATATTGCGTGGGCGTGAGGTGTACGGAAAGGGGAGAAGAAAGAGAGAAGATTGGTGGAAAGTAAGGAGAATGGTGGTTGAGTGGAAGAAAGGAATGGAAGTGGCGAGAAACAGATTGACGTGGGGCAAAAGTTGGGTTTCGGACGGGGCGTGTTCAACAAGCATTCGGACTTCGGGCCAGCGGCGTGTTCAGCAAGAAAGTTGCGATTGCGTGTGCGACTCGGCATGACACGAAGCGCGCGAGTTACTCGCAGCGCACACGGCAGTTGCGAACCGCGTTTGTTCTTTCTTGTTTGCCTATAAATCAGTATACTCTTGTGTGCTTTGTATCTCATTGGAACTAGTGGAATGCTTGTATGTATTGACAACTTGCAACCACTTTGAGATCAGATTATGAGGCAAGGCCCTTGAGGCTATTTGCACAAGTATTTCTAAATACTTTTCGCTGCGCCGGAGGCGATAGTCGCCTAGATCTGGTATCAGAGCTAGCGTCGAATTGCTGGCGAATTTTTCTGCGTGGAGTCTACTTAGTGCGCTAAGTAGAGCAGAGGAGTTAAAGGAGAGGAGTCTAAGCCTACGTCATGGCGAGTGACGAGGTTAGTTTGGGATCCAGTGTGAGCATTGGAGACCCGCAGATGAGAGCTCTCCTGGAGGCCCTGTCGAGGGGGCAATTTGTGGTGAAACCGACGATTGGGCTCAGTGAGGCCCAACGTTTCAATGGAAGCAGCTACAGTACGTGGCGCTTGAAGTTCAGTCGAAGGGCGGAGGAGGTGGACCTTTGGCCCTACTACTCGCCGGACAAGGAGACAGGGGAGGGAGTACCTCCTACTGAGACGGAGCCGGCGGAGAAAATTGCAGAATTCAGGAGGAAGAGTAAGCAAGCGTTCTTTCAGTTGTGTCACTCAGTTTCTGACAGTATTGCCGTCAATTTGGACCCGTTTAAGCGTGAGGTGAATTCTGCGGAGAAGGCCTGGGCATGTTTGGAGAGCATGTATCTTAGGCCAAGCAACGCTAACAAGTCTGCTGTGCGTAAGAAGTTGTTGTTGCTCAGCATGGGAGAGGAAGAGAAGATCATCGACTATGTCAACAGGGCGCGCAGCCTCAACGATGAGCTAGTGGCAATGGGAGATGCTGAGAACGAGGAGCAGATGATCGAGCACATAGCGAGTGGACTACCCGAGACGTGGGCAGCAGAGAAGAGCGGCCTTGTTCTTCACCCTCCAGAGAGCATGACGCAGTTAGTGGACAAGCTGCAGTCGATTGAGGCGATGAAGATAGCGAGCAAGGGGAAGACGGAAGCTGCATATGGCGGGCAGGAGAAGCCGGGGATGGTGAATGCAGCAGCGGCTTGGAGGATTAGTGGTGCTTGTTACCACTGCGGTAAGAAAGGGCACAAGGCGATAGATTGCTACGACAATCCTAAGAGCAGGAACTATAAGGGGAAGGAAGCTGCAAGCGACGGAGAAGGTTGGCAGCAACGGAAGGGGTTTGGAGGCACCTGCGATTTTTGTGGGAGGTACGGACATAGGGCAGCAGATTGCTATTCCAATCCAAACAGCAAGAGTTACAGGGGTCCAGCACATCAGCAGCGGAATGCACAGAAGGCGAACGTGATGGAAGCAGAGAAGGAGAAGAAAAATGATATTATCCTTGGGGGCGCACATCGGGCGAACATTGCACGTGCGTCAAACCTACAAGCTGACGGTTTCAAGCTCCATGGCTGGTACCTGGACAGTGGCTGCACACAGCATATGACGAACAGGTCAGAATGGTTGAAGAATGTGAGGGAGTCGAATGAGAAATTCATAATACTGGGAGATAGCACAAAGTTACCCGTCACTGGAGAAGGTGACGTCCTATTGCGTAGCAGGTTCGGGGAACTGAAGCTGAAAGGAGTACTGCTGGTGAAGGACCTATCCATGAATCTGATTAGTCAGTCACAGATGGATGCATTGGGGTGTAAGATGCTCAACGACCGGGGCAAGGTTACAGTATTTGGTCCAACATGGGAGGTAGTTGTAGACGGGAAGCTGAAGCGGGGTTTCTACGAGATGGATTTTATGCCGAAGCTATTAGTAATGGACAGGTATGAGGAGGACAACATAAGCAACGAAGCCATGGTTGTACGGGAGGAGAAAGGAGCTGAGGCAGCTAAGAAGCAGGATGCTGGAGATCATGCAACAAGCACGATGATGGCCAACAGAGTGGAGGCAAAGGTTGGAGAAACAGGATGGGAGGAGAAACTGAAGCAGGCAGCAGCAAAGACAAGGAAAGAGGAGATAGAGCAGTCTGAGGAACCTGAAGGAGAGAAGCAGACAGTAACGACTATCAACTGGTTTGGTAAGATTTTGGAGGTCAGTAAGGAAGGATGGAGAGTACGAGCTGGGGACGAGTTGTTCAGTGATTGTGAGGGTATCCTAGAATGGGCAAGAGAGATTGGGGACTCTACTGAGGGCGAGGAGTACAGTAAGGAGAAGAAGCAGACCAATCCTAATCTGAGGGTTCAGAGTTATCCATTCAAGCCTGGTAAGCAGAAGCAGAAAGCCAAGCAGTTGCAGGGGAGTATGGAGCTGACCTAGAGTGCGAGGATGGAGAATGCAGGGGAGCACTAGAAGAGACAATCACATGGAAGGTGCGTGGTTGGCAGAACCATAGGGGAGGTTGTTGGAGTGGTTCCGCCACCCACGACGGACTACTCGTGACTTGGGGTGACGAGGAGAGACGTGCGGACTTGGGACGAGAAGGAACTAGGAAATGGGGAATATTGCGTGGGCGTGAGGTGTACGGAAAGGGGAGAAGAAAGAGAGAAGATTGGTGGAAAGTAAGGAGAATGGTGGTTGAGTGGAAGAAAGGAATGGAAGTGGCGAGAAACAGATTGACGTGGGGCAAAAGTTGGGTTTCGGACGGGGCGTGTTCAACAAGCATTCGGACTTCGGGCCAGCGGCGTGTTCAGCAAGAAAGTCGCGATTGCGTGTGCGACTCCGCATGACACGAAGCGCGCGAGTTACTCGCAGCGCACACGGCAGTTGCGAACCGCGTTTGTTCTTTCTTGTTTGCCTATAAATCAGTATACTCTTGTGTGCTTTGTATCTCATTGGAACTAGTGGAATGCTTGTATGTATTGACAACTTGCAACCACTTTGAGATCAGATTATGAGGCAAGGCCCTTGAGGCTGTTGGGCTGAGAAAAGCCCTTAGGATCTTTTGCAGAGACTAAGTCCCAGCTGTAAAGACTTGAGACTTGGAGTAGTGCAGCGGAAGTTGAGACGGTTGAACCCTTGTACTAGTATGTGAGAACAAGTGATTGATTAAAGAAACAAGCATACAGCAATATATAGTAGATAAGAAAGCAGTTGTAGAATACAGTTACAGGAACAGTTTATCGAGTCGCACAGCGACTCGATTGCCGCTTCGGTTACCATCCGTGATGTTGTAACGGTCAGTCGCAACCTCCAGTTGCGACCTTTCGAGTCCTTTCGCATTCTTTGTCCGCCCCCTCGTGTAACCTCCGTTGACTCGCGTGCTCCCCTGTAATCTTCCTCGAGTACAGTGTTACACTTCAGAAACGCTTAAGTCCTTGAGATATTTCCAACACTCCCCTTCGTTTCTGGAGTGCTGGAGTGTTCAGATCCGGTGGCGTTTGTTTGCCCGGTTAGGAGCATGCAGTAGTCGAATTTTGCTTTCGCCAATTTCTTCGTCAGATAATCTGCGGCCATTTCTGTCGTCGGGCAGTAACTGAGTTGAAGTCTCCCCTTCGCGATTTCATCCTTGACGAAGAAGTACCGCAGGGCGATGTGCTTGGTTCGATTGGTGAAGCCGTCCTTGTTCGCGATTTTGATTGGTTGTCGCAGAGGAGTGAGAAGGCGGGCAGGGTCGCGATCTTCGCTTCTTCGAGTAACTCTCGTAGGTAGAGTCCTTCCTTGGTCGCAGTACAAAGGGCGATATACTCTGCTTCAGCCGAGGATAGTGCGATTAACTCCTGCTTGCTCGACTGCCAGGAGATAGTTCCGATAGGTTCTAGTCGGTAGATGTAGCCCGTCCTAGACCGTCGATTTTCGCTGTCTCCCGCGTGGTCGGCGTCGACGTATCCGAGTAGTCGTACGGACGGTGTTGTTGCCTTGCTGTAGGTAAGCCCGATCGTCGGCGTGGAGACGAAGTAGAGTAGCGCTCGATTGAGTTCTTCGAGATCTTCCTGTTGCGGATGCTTCAGATGTGTCGCCAGCTGACTCGCACTATAGGATAGGTCGGGTCGGCAGGTTACTGCTGCGAATAGTAGGCAGCCGAGCTTCTGTTGATACTCCTGGATTTGTTTCGCGGGGAGTTTTGTAGAGGCGCTGCCGTTGTTCCCGTAGCGGTAGGGAGTTGGGACCGCAGTCGGTGTTAGAGCGAATTTCTTCGCGACGGTGCTTGAGTACTTTCCAGCGTGTAGGTAGAACGCCGTGTCGTCTTCGACGACGTTCAGTCCTAGGTACTGCGTAACTTCGTCGGACACCGTGAGAGTTAAATCTTCTTTCAGCTCCCCTTCGAACCAGGTGGCGATGTCGGTAGTTGAGCCGATGTAGAGCAGGTCGTCGACGTAGACGATGAGCAGAACATACTCTCTTCCCTTCTGCAGTCGGTACATCCCTTGGTCATGCGGCAGCTGTAGGAAGCCGATTTTTACGAGACGGCTGTGAAGATGCTGCTGCCAGAGCCGCGGGGCTTGCTTGATCCCGTATAGGGATTTTGTCAGTCGGCATATTTTCGTGGGGTCGTCGATGAATCCGTGGGGTTGTTCGACGAAGATCTCAGCGTCCACAGGTGCGTATAGGAACGCATTCGCGACATCGATTTGGCGTAGTGGTAGTGTTTTTGTGGCCGCGACGGCGAGTAGGATGCGTAATGAGGTGTGACGGGAGACTGGGGCGAAGGTTTCTGTGTAGTCGGCTCCGTATCGTTGGTCGAAGCCTCGTACGACCCATCGAGCTTTGAATCGTTCGACGGAACCGTCTGAGTTGGTCTTGATGCGGTACACCCATTTCCCCGAGAGAACGTTTTTTCCGTTGATGCTCGTTGCAGGTACCAGTTTCCACGTTTCTCGGTCTTGCAGAGCTTTTAACTCCTTTTCCATTGCTTCCTTCCATCTTGCCTTATGTTCCCCCCCCAGAGCCTGCGACAACGTTGAAGGCTCTCGCGGAGAAGGCGGCGGCGGATTCTGGACGGAGACCCAGAGGCCTAGAATCTGGAGTCCCGTGGGCGTGTGTCGAGGGGAATTTTCATTCCCGGAATAAGCTGCTTCGTCACCGTCTTCGGGGTCAGGTAAGAAATTGGGGCCGATGCGTTCCGAAATATTCGTGTCGACGGGGTGAGGTGTAGCGTAACCTTGGTCGGCGAAGTGGTAAAAGGTGTCGAGGTTGTTGCTATCGAGGGGATTATCTTCATCGAGTGGAACAGGTACGGAACAGAATGGGAGTGGTCCGGCAGCTTCCGAGGCTCCAGGTACGTCTTCTTCTGCTGCGTCAGCCTCGGCAGTGTGGTCAGCGAAGGAGCGAAGGCCCGCGAAGCCGTCGGTGGGGTCTTGTGTGTTGGCAAGGTTGTCCAGGTAATGCTGCAGCGTCAGTCGTTCGTAGAAGATAACATCGCGTGATGCCACCGTGTTTTTGTCTTGTATGTCGAGAATTTTCCACGCGTGAAAATGTTTTGCGATGCCGAGGTGTAGTCCCCATCGAGCTCTTTGTGAGAAGCGTCCTGCTCGGGCTGTGTGGGGTCTGTACTGTACCATGCAGCCGAAAACGCGGAGTAATTTTGTGCTGCCCCTTTTTCTTGTCCACAACAGGTGCGGCGATGCGTTGTTGGGAAGTGATGACGAGGACAGCAGGTTGTGCAGGTGAACAGCATGTGTCATCGCGTCTGGCCACAGTGCGTTGGGCAGCCTCATCCCCAGAAGCAGTTTTCGCATCGTCGTCTGCAAGGTCCGGTTCATGCGTTCTGCTACCCCCTGCTGCTGGTGAGCATAGGGCAGAGACACCAGGCGTCGGATTCCCCTTTCCGCGAGATAGGTCCTGAAGCGTTGTGACTGGTATTCCAGTGCACCGTCTGACTGGAAACTCTTGAGTTTGGTTCCTGACTCTCGTTCGGCGATTGGAAGCCATGTGGTGAAGGCCTCGAAGGCTTGATCGCGCGTTTTGAGATTGAAGTGCCAGACGTATCTGGTTGCTGCGTCGATGAACGTGATGACGTAGTTGAAGTCGGCTTCGGTGTCGTCTCGAGGCATGTTTAGAATATCGCTGTAGACCTTTTCCATCGGAGCGTAAGTGGGTGCGCTTGGATTGTGATGGGCTGGGAAAGGTTGATGAGGAAGATCTGCTTCGGGGCATGTGAAGCACCGTGCGCGTGGTCGTCGGAGTTCCTGGCCGTTCGTCGTCAGAAGGGCGTTGCGTTCTAACACCTCTGCTTGGATTGTTTGAAGTATCGTGCTGTTTGCAGGATGTCCGAGACGTTGGTGCCAGATGTCGTCGGGAGCGCGGTGGCCGGGCGAGCGGTGGTAGATGTCGGCGTTGGAGAAGAACGCGACGACTGAGGCGGGACTTCGACAAGCTTCTCGTGTGGCGGGCATAAGTTGGTCTGCTTCCGTTGGCGGTCCTCGTGTTGATGGTGGTGGTACTCGGCTGGGTCCTGCTGCCGATACTGCAGGTGATGGTTTTGTTGGGACACTTGCGGGTACTTGTCTTTCTTGTCTGATAACTGCTAATGCTCGTGTTCTCTCTGCTGCAGGTATGGTGTTGGAGTGCCAGAAGCCGTCACTGTCGAAGTCGGGGTCAAGATCCGGCGGGTGAGTCCAGGCGGCGAACGATACGATGCCATCGCTGTCGGCAGTTCCGCGGTCGGGGACGAAGTCCAACACGAAGACGCCGGACTTCAGGAGGGCACGACCGATGAAGAGGCCGCCCTTCCCGTGGTAAAGCCGGAACTCGTTGGAGTAAGAGTCGCACTCCAGGTGAATCCCCTTGGCCATTAGTTGGCTTACGCTTAGTAGATTGTATCCCAGATTGTCGACAATGAGCACCTTGTTGAGTTGAAGTATGACATTCGTCTCCATGGATTGTAACTGAACCACGCCCTGTCTGTTTGTTTTCAGGTTTTCGTTGTTGGCGACGGTGATGACGACGTCGCGGTTGAGGCGTTTCTCCTGTTGCACGAAGCGTCCCGAGGAGCACATGTGTTGACCGCAGCAGCTGTCCAAGAACCAGGTGTTTCGCCCAGTGGGTTGCGTTGGCGACCAGGATGGGTTTTTAGGCTTTGAGACTACTGTATGGTAAACCTGCAAGATGCACGGTGGTACACGTTGGGAGAGGCACAAAGTGGATGCGTTCACTGCACTGAGAACTAGATTAGTACATTGGATCTAACTCATACTCCAAAAGATATACAACGAGTACATCCGGACAGTTTTTTCCCAGGACAAAGAGCAAACTTCCGAACAACGTTTCTAGTACCTAGTCCACCTACTCTTGGCGTTGATCACCATCCACACCCTCCTAGGCATGTTATCTATGTGGTTAGTGCAGACCTTTGCATGAAGCTTCTCGCACTCTTCCTTGACCCACCATTTTGCATAAGGGGGTGAGCACAAGGAAAATTGCGAAGTATTTGAGCGTATGCATAAGTATTGTGCACGAATTCAGATTGAATGTAATCTCTGAGACTAGCCAAGCCGAGGGGTGTCCAAAGATGCCATTAGTTAAATGGTCCCGGCTTATCATGGGTCGTCTTCGTCGTATCGTTCTAGGGTAAAATCACGAATAGAGTGGCAAAATCTAGCATTCCCGCCACGAATCTTAGGGTAACAGAGCACGGTCGACTGAACATCCTTTCACTGTGTGAACCATGTTAAAATACGCGGGTCTAGTGACGGGGCAGCAGTCGAAGAAACCTCGACTGTTTGGGAAGAATATCTGGATTGAGGTCTGGTGAGAAAAAGGGTCACTCCAGCGCAACATACTTATGCTCTCCAAGGCATTCCATGTCATTTTCCCTGCCTAGGCTTGGAATGGCTCGGAGAGCATGGATATGTAGCTCTGGAGTGCCCCTCTTCCTCACCAGACCTCAACCCTGATATTCTTCCAAAACAGTCGAGACTTCTTCAACTGATGCACTGTCACTAGACTCGCGGATTTTAACATGATTCTAACAATGAAAGGATGCTCAATCGACCGTGCTCTGTTACCCTAAGTTTCGTGGCGGGTATGCTAGATTTTGCCACTCTATACGTGATTTCACCCTACTCCGATTCGACGAAAACAACCCATGATAAGCCAAGACCATTCAACTAATGGCATCTTTGGACACCCTTCGGCTTGGCTAGTCTCAGAGATTACATTCAATCTGAATTCGTGCACAATACTTATGCATACGCTCAAATACTTCGCAATTTTCCTTGTGCTCACCCCCTTATGCAAAATGGTGGGTCAAGGAAGAGTGCGAGAAGCTTCATGCAAAGGTCTGCACTAACCACATAGATAACATGCCTAGGAGGGTGTGGATGGTGATCAACGCCAAGAGTAGGTGGACTAGGTACTAGAAACGTTGTTAGGAAGTTTGCTCTTTGTCCTGGGAAAAAACTGTCCGGATGTACTCGTTGTATATCTTTTGGAGTATGAGTTAGATCCAATGTACTAATCTAGTTCTCAGTGCAGTGAACGCATCCACTTTGTGCCTCTCCAACGTGTACCACCGTGCATCTTGCAGGTTTACCATACAGTAGTCTCAAAGCCTAAAAACCCAAGGTTGACCTGAAGTCCTTGTGAGCGCGGCGGCGGGAATTCCTCTTCGTCTGGTGCGTAAGTGGGTGGTGATCCGGGTGCGCAGTTGTCGATGTGTACCATGCAGTTGATGATATTTGGTGTCCCTTGTGCAGATGTTGAAGAGCGCCTTGGGGAACTTGCTTGAGTGGAAGCAACTTGTGGGTCTGCTGCACGGTAAACGCGAGGGCGGTTGCAGTTGACTTTGGAGTGTCCGGAAGTCTGGCAGTTGTGGCAGAAACGGCGGCACGATGGTGAGTCCTCGGTTGTCGCGTTGATCTTGCTTGCTGCGTCGGTTGTAGTTTATGTCATTTCTTCTTTGAGTGTAGAAGACTAACTGCTGTTGCTTCCTTGGTTGTCTTTCCTCGAACAGATCCATCTCCTGTTGTTCAGCGTGAAGCTCGGCGCAGAGGTGCATCTCCGAGATCCTTCCGTGGGCGCGAAGAAGCGATCGTGTGGTTCTCCATTCTGGTCCGAGCCCGGCGAGGACAAGTGTGACGAAGCTTTCTTCAGTGATCGTTCCTCCGCACCGAAGCAGGCGGTCGCGCAGGGTCTGGCAGCGACTCATATACTGCATCGCCTTTTCCCCGGTTTTCATCTGTATTGTTGTCAGCTGTTGCATGAGTCTGCTTTGTGTCACGCTGTCGTTTGCTTGATAGAGGCATTTGAGATGATGCCATGCAAGTTCCGCGGAGTTTCCATAACTCCGATACGTTCTGATGCTCTGCTGCTCTTGTGGTGACAAGTTTCTCAGGAGTACCGTATACGCCAGCAGCGACTGATACGTGAAGATTTCTTGTTCCTTCCCAGTGCCGTTGCTTGGGAATGGCAGGGACCCGTTGAAGTATCCCAGAAGATGCGCGGCCTCCATCAGCAGCTCGAACTCGAAGCTCCAGGTAAAGAAGTCGTGTCCGTTGAATGGGGATGATGTCTGCAGTTTAATCACGTGTGAAAACTGTGCCTGGAGACTTAAAATCTCGTTTGGTGTTTGTTGTGATGCAGCTGCTGTTGGTTGGGCACGGGGCGGCATGAACTCGAACGTCCCCGGTGAAGAGTGATAAGGCGCAAAGGTAGGCGCTTGATTGTGTCGCCCGAAGGATGAGTTGTCGAGGCTCATCGGCGCTAATCCCATATTCCCTCCATTGCTCTGTGTTGAGTGCGCAGGTGTCCTTGTCTGCTGCTGCTGATCGAAGTGTGACATGAAGCTGAAGAATCTCTCCATGAGATTCGGGTCCACACTTGAAAGATGGAGACGGGGTCACCATCTCTGGTGCTCTTCCCGTTGTTTCTTGAGCAGTCCCGGTCTCTGTCTGCAGTCCTGAGGTGTGCAGACCAGAGTTGCCGTGTTGAGTTTCTTGGGCGCTGGGTGAGCCCGTAGAGACTTTCTTGCCCTTGTTGTCCATGTCTTGTAATCAATGGAGTTGTTGAATCAAGTTGAGTTGCTGGTTGTTGATGGAGTGTAGTTGCTGGGAGTTTTGGTCTCTGACCAGCTCTCATACCATGTTGGGCTGAGAAAAGCCCTTAGGATCTTTTGCAGAGACTAAGTCCCAGCTGTAAAGACTTGAGACTTGGAGTAGTGCAGCGGAAGTTGAGACGGTTGAACCCTTGTACTAGTATGTGAGAACAAGTGATTGATTAAAGAAACAAGCATACAGCAATATATAGTAGATAAGAAAGCAGTTGTAGAATACAGTTACAGGAACAGTTTATCGAGTCGCACAGCGACTCGATTGCCGCTTCGGTTACCATCCGTGATGTTGTAACGGTCAGTCGCAACCTCCAGTTGCGACCTTTCGAGTCCTTTCGCATTCTTTGTCCGCCCCCTCGTGTAACCTCCGTTGACTCGCGTGCTCCCCTGTAATCTTCCTCGAGTACAGTGTTACACTTCAGAAACGCTTAAGTCCTTGAGATATTTCCAACACCACTCACGCCCTGAGCTAGGCCTGTTGGGACATTTTGGCAGGTGACTCGTTCAGTCAAACCTCAACAACGCTTGTCTTTCCTTGTGAATAATATACAGCTGCTCTTGACAAAACATGTAAATTTTAGGAAGTATGGACACTAAAAACCGCATTGCATGTTCAACCGCTAGCCTGGAACACCATGTATCTCATCATGGCTACAGGGTTCGCCTTGAGGAAATTCCTATTGTATACGCCCTCCTGGCCATTCTTCTCCTTCCCATCATCCCCCACAGCAGCTTCAGCGTTCCCGACACACATCCTCTTGGCAGCAGGTTCCTCGCCCTCAGAACCCAGCTGCTGCTGCTGCTGCTGCTGCTGCTGCTGCTGTTGGTCAAGAGGATTCCTCGCTAGATAGTCCACTACCTGGTTACCACCGTCCTGTAACCTCATGTACTGCCCAGCAGCTGTAGCAGCGGCTGTTGCACCGCCTGTAGCAGCAGGGCTGGCACCTGCAAGCACACGGTGCAGGAGAGGCAGGGAGGTGGAACCAGTCGCAGACTGCACGGAGGAGGGGAGCGCCACAGAGGGGAAGCCATTACTGCTCCCCAACCCCCCTTGTATCCGTGCAGCGGCAGCACCACCATCAGCAGCAGCGCCGCCGAAGCCCCCAGGCCCGGCGAGCACAGCTGCCTGGCCCGACACTCCAGCCACCCATGCCGCCGGCCTCTTCCTCTCAATCCTATCCGCAGCACCTGGACCCGCCCCTGCTCCTGCCCCTGCTCCGGTTGCAGCGGCTGGTGCTGATCCTGCTGCTCCCATTGCTGTGGGCGTTGCAAGAGTCATTTCACAGCCTGGTTGCGCAAACGAGGGGGCTGCAGCCACAGACGGGAACGGAGGAGGCAAGGGAAGGGAGGCTGCTGCTGGAGCACCAGCAGCGCCAGGAGCACCTAACGCAACAGGTGTGGGTTGTGCTGCCACTGCCGGTGCTCCATAGCTGGTGCTGACGCTGCTGCAGCTGCTGCCGCTGCTGATGCTGCCGCCATTGCTGCCGCCATTGTTGCTTGATTGGGCCAACCAGGGAAATCCCTTGCGCCCACACCACCACCACCACCACCGCCACCACCAACGCCAGCACCGCCAGCACCGCCAGCACCTGCACCTGAATTGCTCGCAGATGCAGCCGCGGCTGCAGCAGCGGCGGCGGCAGCAGAGAATGCGGCTGAGTCGGGGAAAGCAGAGGCGGAGGCGGACGCTACTCCAGGCCAGTGTGCTTGGGGCGAGGGGTAGGGCCAGTGGGCGAGGTGACTATACGGGGAGGGCGAGAAGGGGGACTGTAAGGAAGCAGCGGCAAGGGACGAGCCAAGAGAGGAGACCGGCCATGCACCAGCCTGCGCCTGCTGCTGAAGCTGCTGCAGCTGCTGCAGTTGCTGCTGCTGCTGCATCTGCTGCTGCTGCTGGAGATGCATGAATTGCTGCAGCTGAAACTGCGAGAAGGGGAGCAGAGACGGGTGCACGCCAGAAGCGCTGGCAGCTTGAGCCGCCATGGCTGCCGCGGCGGCTGCTGCGACAGACGACACCATCTCCTGCCCGGCACTAGCGGCAGACATACCCTGCCCTGCTGCTGCAGCCGCCGCAGCCGCCGCGTAGTCGGTTGCGGACAACCCCATGCCCGTGCCCATGCCCATAACGCCCATGCCCAATCCGCCCATCCCGCCCATCCCGCCCATCCCGCCCATCCCCGGAAACATTCCCCTAGGGACCTGCCCCGCGCCCGCCGCCAGCGCCATGGTCCGCGCAGCGGCAGCCGCCGCCACATTGGCGGGGGAGAGGCCCGCGGAGAGACCCGCGGGGTATGGGGGGACCGCTTGCGGCAAGATCTCCGCCTGGGGGAACGCTGCGCCGCTGGGATGTAGCGAGGAAAAGGCGGCGGCGGCGGACGCTGCGTGCGGAGAAAGCGCAGCGGGGGGAAGACCATAGCCCGCGGGTAAAGCCGCGGCGAGAGCGTGAGACGCGCGGGGAATAGCGGACAGAAAGGGATTGGCGACAACTGGCATCAACGGATTGGTTCCCGCGACGGCTGGCGAATGGATGGCAGTCGCTGCCGCCGCCGCCGCTGCCGCTGCGGCGAGCAGTGTCGCTGGCGAGATGTTGGCGGTAGAATCTTGAGGGGCCTGACCTGGCTGCGGCGACGGCTGAGGCTGCTGGTTACCCTGTTGCTGCTGCGGGTGCAACGAAACCTTGCTTTTCCGCCGACCGGAGCCCACGGGTACGTTTCGCAGGTTGCCGCCAGCCGTCCAGTAGCGCTGGCACGCTCGGCAAAAGTGCCGCGGCTGGTTGGGATTGTAGTTGTTGAAGTAACACAAACTTGGTAGCGAGGCTCTTGCAGCGGGGACAAGGCAGCGGGGTGGTCGGGCGCTTCAACTCCGCCCCGCCTTCCCCCTGCAGCGGCTGCCCCTCCCGCTCCTCCCGCTCCTGCTGCTCCTGTTTCTCCCGCTCCGCGGACGCGTCTTGCGACTCCGAGTCGTCCTCCCCGTGACTCCCCTTCCCATCCGCGCACTCCTCCGCTCCTCGTCCCGCGCTATTCTCTGCGCCGGTGGCAGCGGCGGCGGGGGTGGCGGCTTCGCCAGATCGAACAGCGTCGCACATCAACGGCTGCGACGAGGTAGGCGAGTTCGGAGCGCTACCGTTGTCGATTAATCTACCGAAGAGACGGAACCCGGGATCTGCTGCGTCTAAAACGGGCCCGGCTGCTGTTGCCATGTGTATCGAGGTGTCTTTAATTACTGGACTAAAACATACCACTCTCAATCTCTGAGCTACTCTAATCTTGCTTTATCGTGTATGGTGACGAGGTTTTAATGTGTACTTGAGCGCGACTTGAGAACGGCAGGCCGAGTGACTAACGAGAGTAATGGCGGAGAGATACAAGATGTGGAGTCTAAGAAATGTCAGAAAAGAAATACAGTATGCACAGGGCTGGAGCCTGTCACAGGAATCAATCACAACTGGATGACGCCAGGAAGTGGTGGACAGACTGTAATTCTCGCTACCCAGTGCATGCACAGCGCGGCCCTGCCCGCCCAACGCACACCCCTTCCACCGGCACGGGCAGTTGGGGAGAAATTGCTGCTCTATGAGCTCGTCTGAAAGGAATCTCGCAGGCTTGGGCAAAAGGCTGGGAAGGGGAAGAACGGTCGTCCTCACAATACAGAACAGTATTACAGGGAGGATTGCTCGCTCATCTTCTCCTCCTGCCCTGGTCTGTTGTGGTGACTCGGTGTTCTCTTCTCACAGACCAGGGCAGGGGGAGGGAGGAGGAGCGAGTAACTCCTTGCGCAATTGGGCGCGCACAGCGCATGCAACCTTGCAAACAAATGCGCTGCTCCAGGCGCGCGGGCGATTCTCCGCCGTGCAATCGCACGGTTGTTGGAGATTCTGCAGCAGTGCCCGATGCTTTGCTGGCTTGCGTGGCCGTGATCGCCCCGTCGACGCTCCTGGCACCGCACTCACCGCTGCCCGTTCAAAAGATTTCCCCCTTGGGCTGCCCTTCCCCTGGCTTCTCAAGAGCCACGCAATGAAAAGTTCGATGTGGAGGTGTCGAAAAGTGCGGCTGAGTTGTGCTCCAATCCGCGGGAAATCCGTGGGTGGCCTATCGCGCGTGTAAGAAGTGGACTACTTCTGTCTGATTGGTAGAGTTTAAGAATCTCCCGTGTCCTCAGCAAAGGAGGCCAGCCTCGCATTCCCAGGGACAGAAAAAGATTTTCGTCACAGATCTGTAGACCACGCAAAGCCCTCGCTTTTCCCGAAAAGAAACAGTAATGTGGATGATTTTCGTGCACCACGAACCGGGTCTGCACACAGCGACAATCCACCAGGCACTTTTTCTTGCCAGATCAGCCGATGAACTGCAACCACAAGAGGGAAATGTAAGTCTGACGTGGCGGAAATTAGAACCTTCAGGAACGACGATGTCCAGCCTGGTGGGGAAGAAGATATCAAGTAATCATCACAACGAGCAACATACAGTATCTTCGGAATCGGTGGGCTTCGTCGCGGTAAGTTGAGCTTACCATCGGGCAGGTGAGCTGAAGAATGACAACAAGCCTCCCTGTCTACCCAACGTCCAGACCTTAGGGGTCTCTGTGAAGCACGGGCTTTTTTGGATCTGGACGTTGTGTATACAGCGAGTAGAGTGGAGATCACTATTTGAACTGCCCTTAAAATTCGACATGAAAATTTCCGCAACCTTACGGGGAGTGGTTGGGGAAGCTGAATGGACTGTGAAACTGGCTGCTGGCGTGGAAAGTTGTGGATCTCGAACCCGTGGACGACAATGCTCTTTTCCAGCAAAAAGCAGATCGAGCTTTGCGGTCAATCCTGGTTTCCACGTGATTATCCGAAACTCTGACATGGCGCACGTGCTGACCAAAGAGGCGGACCAATGAGGTGCAGCCAAGCCACATCCCTCAACAAAAGAATCTTCCAAAGACTGCCCTCCTTGTCTACCTGATACTTTCACAGCGGCATCCCAGAAAATTTGCTACAACAAAAAAAAACAGCAAATTGTAAAATGATCATACATATTAGCAACTTTTCTTAGCCAACTTCTAGCATTGTTTATGTAGTTGAGATTTGAAGGTCCGCGGTGGCATTCTTCCCGTGGGAGGAGCAGCATCAGGATCAACCCATAAAGGAGTGGTATATGTCGGGGGGCAAGGGCATGCACAAAGCCCCTAAGGCAGGCAAAGCATTGTGAGGGCGTTTGCATGAGACAAATGCCTCTTATACCGAGTTTGTGAGATGTCTGAACCTAAGACCGCTGTGTTGTGCCTTTCTCTAGGGGAGACTGGTGTAGCCACAGAAGGCCTGAATCTAACATGAGCAATCTTTTGGAAATTATGCTGCACTGCAAGCCGCAAGCAGTATCAAGGGACTTGGAGCAAGCTATCACTGCATAATAAGAATGCACAGCAATCGTAATGTCTGTGTAGACAAGCTTGCCCCTGAACCTGCACAGCCAGAGGCGCCTTCCAGCTTCTCATGAAGCAAACAAACATGCTGCATCCAGGCCTATCGTTATCAGGGTATTTTATCCTGATTCCCTGATTTCACAAGGTATTTTTTTGGCCAACCCTTAATTTTCAGGGTTGGGTTTTTTTGAACCCTAACCTCTTCAGGGTTATATGTCTGTGAACACTTAAAATTTCAGGGTTAGCGTTATCCCAACACTGAGTTTTCAGGGAGTAACGCGTACGAACCCTGAATGCGACATCCATGCGGACCCTGAGTTTCCTCGAAATGGCCCCCTTACGCGTGACGGGGCCCAGTCCATTGAACACGCCCAGCATGCGTCACGTGGGGAATCTGCACTCGACAAGATTCCCGCCGTGTACACGCTGTATGTTGCCATTACAGCAACATTTGCAACCGTCAACTGGCATTCGTGACTCAGCACGCAGCAGACGATGACAGAATATGATGAGCGCGGCAATGTCAGCCTATGTATGACATCACCACGCCAATCATCTCTGTGCAGACGATGCCAGCGCAGGTGCGTCTCGCCGTTAACGGTATCGCCATGGCGATACGGGAACCTGGATGGTTTATGCACCATCCATCAAAATCGAAAGATGATGCCTCTTGGTCCTCTTCCCGTCTTCTTCACCAGCTCCTCCTCCAACCCAGTTTTCTTCTTTTTTTCACGTCACAGCTATGAGATGCTCCAGTTTTCTGTCTCCTTTAGTTTCGTCGCGCCGATTTCTCATTTCCATCATATCCGCCGCTTCTAGCCATGGCGGATGTAGGAGACTCTGGTGAGTCTCCCACTGCCGATGATGGTTCTGGACTAGGTAGGGACCCCCCCGTGGAGGTCCGTAGATCCTCTCTAGACATCTTGCGGTCTCCCACCGCAGTCGTTACACCATCACAACCCGTATCTACTCCCGCCGCTCCCTATGTACCTCCGCCCGCTGTCGCTTCATCTAGCCGGGGCCCTTTGGTTCCAGACTGCGAGACAGCCACGACCGTGCGTTACACCGTCGAGTGTGCGTCGACGATTTCATCTGGGAAGAAAGCACGCGTCGGGAAGTACACCCAGAGCACGATAGTCCTCGGCGGGAAGCTACATCGACGGTCACCGCCTCGCACGTCGCCTGAACCTCAGGCCCTTGGTATTCCAGAACCCGAGCCGCCGAATCTCTCAAAGAAGGAACTCATCGAGCAGAAGTATCTCATGGCTGAGCACAAGTATAAGACCAGCTGGCTTCCATTTTTCCCTTGGCTTCTGCTAACGAAAACGAAAGACGGTTACCCTGCTTTGAAGTGCAGTGTGTGCAAGGCTTTCGGCAAAGAGACAACACCGTACTCCAACAGCCGCGACGGGGCACGTGACCTGCAGACGCAAGCGATGCGGTTCCACGAACACACGACATCCCACGAAGTAGCAGTCAAGCGTCAGATGGAGATCGCCGAAGACATCGCCGAAGAGATCACCCAGAGGCAAATGGAGAATTACGCGCGGATTGACATCGAGGGGAAGCGCGTCATGAGGCTCCTACGCTGCGTCGACTTCTTGTGCAAGTGTGATGCACCCATCAGCATGTACCCGAGGCTACTCCGCTTCATGGCCGAGCAGGAGACACCGGACATTCCGCTGCAGTCTTACGGAGTCTACCTGACACGGTAATGCACTTATTCGAAGTACACCATGTCCTTCATTTTAAAAAGATGTCTAACCAACACCTTGTTGTCACTTCTAGTACTACAGGTATGGCTTCTGTCAGCTCGTCAGCAGCCTGGCAACTTACCTGCATCGCCGACAAATGCACTACATTCTCGCCTCACCCTACCTCGGCATCAGCTGCGACGAGAGCACTGACCGTACTCGCGGCAAACATCTTATTGTTTATCTTACCTTCTTGCGTGCGCATCGTGTTGTCACAGAGTTTTTTGCTCTCTTGACCGTCGAAAAGTGCGATGCCGCGTCTCTCCTCGCCGTTCTTCTGGCTCACTTGCGAGCAAGTGGCATCGACCTCTCCCGAATCACCGGCAACGGCGCCTCTGTCATGGTCGGCCGAGACAATGGTCTCGTCGCCCGACTTCGCGAGCACATCCTCCACCTCGTCTCGTCGCACTGCATCGCCCACAGGTTAAACCTAGCGTCATTTCAGTCGCTTATGGTTCCTACAACTGCTTGTCTAAAATTCTTTCGTGTGCACCATGCAGGGAAGCCTTGGCGGTGAAGGACGCGGCCACTGCTTATCCAGACTTCGACATGGTCGACCTTGTGATTCGGACTTTGGCCGATCTTCTGGGACGTTCATGTGTCTGGAGTCAACGCTTCAAATACCTGCAGCGGGCAATACACAACACCAACCTTGAAGTGCAAGGAATTTACACCGTGCGCTGGCTTTCAAGGGGTGAGTCTGTGAGGCGCCTCTGTAAGGTCCTTGGCACCACTATCATTCTCTTTTATGAGTACGGGCATGAGCTGTATGAGGTCGTCATCTGTTACAAGTTCCAGTTCTGTCTTTTTTTCCTGGCGGACGTGCTCGGAGTGATGAATGAGCTCAACCTCAAATTCCAGAAGAGGGAGGTGAGCTTCTACCACTGTGGCTGTTGTAGTTTTTGTCCCATGCATCCACGTTTGGAATCACCCTCTGACTCCACTCCCTTGTCTGACACTTCCATCAGGTCGATGTCACCGAAGTGACAAAGGACATCGACGAGGCGACAGGGGACCTCCGCCACCGCTACTTGGAGTGCGGAGAGGTGTTCGGTGGGGTGTTGAAGGCACGTGGCTTTCGGCTTTCTTGGCGGTCTACGGGCGCGGAGGGGGCAAACACGTAAAGGTGCGGGGCATCGACAAGGACGGCAACCCAGTCACGCACACCTACACCATGCACGAGAAGCAGATCGACGGGCATGCCTTCCACAGCAAGTACACCGATTGCGAGCGGCTCTGCGCGCAGTTCGCGAAGGACACGATAAGCTTCCTGAAGACGAGGATGCTGGACCTGAACAATCTCGGCCCGACGAAGCTCTTCCGCGTGTCGAAGTGGCCCCGGATGAAGCAGCAGAGAGAGAAGCTGAAGGAGTACCTACATGGCTGCAGTGCCTTGTTCGACAACAGGCTGGCAGGCTTTTCCTTGCAAGCTGCGCAGAAGGAGCTGGTCAC